GCCACAATGATTCTAAATACTTACTTATAATCAATAGAAGGTTGATTTGATGGAAGTTGAGTTAATTTTCATATTTCATTATCTATGCCTAATTTTTATTCTTTATCCATTGCTTTCTCCTACTTCATAGCATTTGTGGACTTTATTACATCTCACAAACTCAATAGATCAATAAGGAGTGGAACATCTACATGTTCTTCACTTACTTGAAGAAAGATGTGGTTCTTCCACCATTCACCAAATTTTTTTTTTTTTTTCTCATATGATGTCTCCTTTATTTGATGAAGATTCACCTCTATACACTCCAAGGTCTCTTACAACCTTCTACTCTCTTGAAACTTGTCTCTTCATATTCAAAGGTTGATATTCATTATCACTATTATCTTCCATATTTTGATTTTTTTCATTGCTTGTTTTAGGAATTATAGACATATATTGATTTATCTTCTTTGGTTCTTCATCTTGATTTGTATTTCTACCATCTTCATTTTTATTATCTTTGTCTTATTTTTTACTAAAATTAGAGATATATCTATAAATACACCATTACTCCTACTTTAACACATTTTTAAGAGCTAATAAGCACTCTTAAGGTTTAAAAACACTACGTCACAACTCTTAATGATCTACTTGGTTTCTAAACACATTAGTCTATATGCCTTTGTACCATTATAATATCCAAAAAACATATATTTTTTTATCTTTTGCATCAAATTTGGACCTTATATAATTTGATACCTTTGTATAAGTAATGCATTTAAAAATCTTCATGTATAAAACATAAGGTTTCTTGCCATTCCAAGCATCTTCTAGAGTTGTTGATTTAAATATACTTTTAAGATATTTATTCTTTGTATACACTTCATTTATCACAGATTCCATCTAATATTTATGTCAAAGGTTTTGTACATGAAGTATATTCTTTATTATTTTTACAATGATAAAATTTATTCTTTGAATAATTATATTTTATTATAGAATATAAAGAGTGGAGGTTTTTTTTGCAATATCTTGAATCTTTAAGAATTCATCAAAGTACTTTAACATATACTCACTTCTATTATTCATAAGTAATATTTTGATCTTGTACTTACATTACTTTTCCACAAGTGCCTTAAACTCCTTAAATCTTGAAAAACACTCAATCTTAGCTTTAAAGATGTAAATCCACATCTTTCTTAAGAAAACATCAATAAATGTGACAAATTACCTTATTCTTCAAATTGATGGTATTTTCATTGATCTACAAACTTTAAAATGCACAATCTCTAAAAATTTAGTAACATGTGTTGTAACTCCTCTTGAAAATAAAGCCTTTTATTCTTTATCTTATATATAACCTTTACAAGTATGTATTATGGCATTGTGGCTAAATTAACCAAGGTCTAAGCTACTTACCATGGATTGGAGCTCTTTCATGCTTTTGGCATTCAAATGACGAAATCATTGATGCCAAATTTCAAACTTATCTTAATCTTATGAAAACTCAGTAAATGCCGCCACTTCAAGTTTATTCACCTTCTTAAAATTTATGAAGTAGAGGTTGCCATTTGTAAAGCCTTTGGAAAATTTTGTCCATCCAATATCTTCACAAAACATCCATTCATGTCAAATTATACCTTACAACCATAAGATATAAGTGTACTCACTAAAAGAAGTTTCTTTGTCTTTGATATATGTAAGACTTCTTTCAATTTGATTCTCTTAATTTGGTCTTTTACAAAAAAAATTCCTACAATGAAACCAATTCTAATAGCTTGTAGCATGTTATTATTTCCTAGCAAAACTTTTGTTTCTAAAATTGATTTATAAATATCAAATGAATATTGATATAGTACCATGTACTTAGTAGCATCCAAATCTATAATCTACTTAGACATAGCAGCCATAGAGGTTCCTTTACTTGCCATAAAAGCATAGTCATTTCCACCAAAGTTATCACAAGCATTATTTATATTCTCCTTATTTCCTTTCTTAACTTTGTAGCAATTCTTCACAAAATGACCTAATTTTTTATAAATATAATAATTTTTCATATTAATTTTTAAATTATCATATTGGTGATAATAGCTACATTTGCTATGCCTTCAAAATAGAGCCGAATCATTGATTTGAAGCTCTTTTTTTTTCTCTTAGTCACTTCATAAGAAGTCTTAATATAACATAACTCAATGTAAGTTCTTTTATGTTAATGGATTCCAATGCCACAATGAGGTAGTTGATGCCTCCAAAAGACTCATGAGCAATATTAATACAATATCATTATCATCAACTAATTTGTCAATAACTGCTAATTGATTTGTAAATGCTTTCACCTTATTAATATAAGTCATGAAGCTATCTTCTTCTTCCATATTTAATATTAAGAACTTTCTTGTTCATAGAATATTGAGAAGGTTTCTACTCTCATAGATATTGCAAAGAATCTTCTATGCTTCTACTGGTCCATTGCAAGCAATTACATGTGAAAAAATTTGCATCATCAAGATTTATTGCAATCAATCCAAAAGCCTCCATTTCACAATGTTTGTACTTCTTTTCACCTTGACATCACCATTATTGCTTGCAAGCTCTTCACTTTCATCAACAATGTTTCAAAGATCCAATAAAGTCAAAAAAAAATCCATTTTTTTTCTTCCAATGGTAGAAGTTGTCTTCTCTAAACTTCTCAATCATTCTCAAGGCCTCACTCTCACTTGAGGCCATGTCTAGAAAAGATATGTATGAAAGAGAATCAAAAAAAGACAAGATAGATCTCTCAAAATCAAGATAAAGATATTGTCTTAGAAATCCAAAATACCTTCTATGTGAGTAAACTAATATTTTTATCCTTTAATCACTCTCAACTTTACTTATAAGACTTTTCATAAGTCTTATATTCTATCCAAACATCCTTTATAAGCTTTTCCATTCTTTACTCACTTCTAATCTCACAAAACATATTTTATTACTTTAAAAAAAAAACTTTCAAAAATAGCACATAAAAGCAGAATGTTAGTACACCAATGATGTAACTCACTAAAGAAATACAACACTTGTATTCTAAAACATCATTCTAAGGTGTCTAACAATTTCCAAGACTATATATTTACTTAACAATAAGTAAGAGTAAATCTACATCAACAACTAGATGCAAAAAATAGGATTAGAAGATATCAAATACTAACATCAATAACCATAAGATCTAGTCCTCTTAATAAGAAAGACTTCAAAGAACTTCAAAACTTACAATTAAAGGTAAGTGGATCCATAACTTATTGAAGAAAGAGAACTTTTAAATCACAACACATAGCATTGGCAAGATTGCTCATAAAGAGAGTACAAAGTAAGATAACTCACACTTCTAATATCCATTATTTATAGGTGATGGTTGCTATCCAAATGGACAACTTCCATCCTTTAATGAATACATCCATCCAAGATTCTACCATGATTATTTATTAATATTTTATCTACTATAAAGATATGTCTTTAGTATATCCTCTATATTTTTAAGATCCTTTATCCATTCATTTGCCTTGTTTCTTAACCTTACCACATGTCAAGAACCAACCCTTTGACCATTAGCAACTTATGTAAGATAATATCCTTTATAAGATAACTTATTATACTTTTACTTTTACTTATTTACATTAACAATTTGGAGCTCCAAGAGGATCTATAGAAATAGAGGAATAGAAAGAGAATACAAAATATATAAATAATTGAATTAATAATGCTATCTATCTTTATTTTAAAAAAAAAAATTGAAAAGTTAGATCTTTTTGAAGATATTAAAAAGTTTGGAGTTTTGAATAAATATTAGACAACAAATTTATATATGTCCTAAATTGATAAAAATAATAATAATAATAATAATAATAAAGATCACTTTTTAAATTTTAAAAATAAAATACAAAAATACAAAGAATTTTTTCTAAAACTAATTAAAAGTATTTGCTTAAATGCATTTTACAATCAATTTAAGATGCATTTTCTAAAACAATGTTTATAGAGAAGATAGATTATTGATACATTGGTTTGAAATACTTTTTGTTTCTATTACTATTATTATTATATATTCTTAAATAAATTAAATATATCAAAATATATAAAAACATCCAAATGAAACATATTTTTAAGAAATTACTAATTAGGTGATGTTCTACTTATTTGATACATCTTGCCATTCAAATTTCTTCTCATTACATTTCAAATGACACATTGATTAACAATAAGGAACTGAAGTAGCTTAAAAGTTTTGCCATGCATTCTTTACTTGCAAATGGTTTCATGTGCAATAATAAATATAAGCCAATCCATAATATACATTTATATTCAAAAATAGTGATTACTGGAAATAAAATAAAACAATATACAGACTTAAGTAGAAACCACTCGAACTTCTATTTTTAGCTGGTTATTGCAGAAATTTACATTTGACTGTTTGGTTTCTATAGCTGTATACCTTAAACAAAATAAGAGTGACGTTCAGAATAAAAATGTTTTAGTTCCAAAATTTATAAAGTAATAATACTAACTTCTTACAGTATAAGAAGGAATTAATATTATTCATCACACTTAAGATAAATCAATTAATAGCTTCTTGTAGCTTTCATAAATTCGCAAAGTTCAACCCTCAATGAACAACCATCCATGTATTTGTTTGTTGTGATTTTTGCACATTGAATAACAAAACTCCGATTTTGGAGTAGATACAAACTTCAGAAATACAAAATTCACAATATCAAGTTTGAAGTAAAAAAAAATACATGTATACATATGTATAAATATACACACATACATATTCACTGCATTACACAATTGAACTTTACTGTAGTGTCTTATCATCTACCAACTAAAACAAGCAAATCCGCTTAAGTAATTTGTTTCAACAGCTAGGTTAAATTTTCAAAAAATGATAAAGACTCATGATTCTGGGTTTTTTGTTCACATGACCAGATCATCCTTCACCATGCAAACTGAAATCATCAACACAGTGGGAAACATTGTACAGAAAATACAATTAAAAGATCCTAACGCATTGTGTTAACCACAGGGAAACTTGAAAGAAGCCAAGCAAGAAGGCCTTTCAAGCTTGCGTCAATCCATTGAAATAAAAACAACCCTGCTAATGACAGGTAAAGCTTGGATGAAACCATTGTCATGTTGCAGCCTCAGTCTCGCCAAGTCACCACTACTCAAAGTATCAAAAATCTGGGACGGATACTTTTCGAAGCAGCAAACGTTAACATCTCAGGCAAAGACTGGGCTTTCATGAGGCAACATCTAACTTTTGAAAATGCATGTCCCAATTAATAAATGAGCCTCGTTCTGCAAGCCTGATTCTTCCTTTAAAAAATGTTCCTATTCTCATCTAGTTAAGAGCCCCCTCTCTCTCTCTCTCTCTCTCTCTCTCTCTCTCTCTCTCTCTCTCTCTCTCTCTCTCTCTGCATGCCTGCCTGCTATTGATTTAGAGATACTGACCGACCAGCTGCCTCGGTTCTCCGCTGAAGAGGGGTGAGTGCAGTCACAAGCATCTTCGCATTGGGCCGTTCACGCGGTTCAAACTGCAAACACCGTGATGCCAGACGAACGACCTCTAAACCATCGTCGTTGGAGTACTCTCCTTCCAAGTAGGAGTCCATTAGCATGAGCATGTTTTTCCCGCGAATTATATCCAACGCCTGCAGTCCATTATTGAAGTGTCAGCATGTGCCTTACAACTCCACAGATCTTAGATTTAGAGATGACTCAACAAATAATTTCGTATGCGATTCATACTTGAAATGAATTGCTACACTTCAATTCAGGGTAAATAAACCGGACTCACATGGCTAGGTGGAATGTGTTTTCCACTCAAGAGATCGAGTAGCACAGTTCCATAGCTGTAAATTACACTTTCTGGTGTCACCCTTCCTGGATTCACAAACAAAAGAACGCATTATAACATGCAAAAAAATTTAGAGTTGGACTTTTTAGACCAGCTTTTGTGTAGGCATAATAGAACCATAACTGAACCAATTACATATCTAGTACCTACAAAACAGTCAGATTATGATAGAAACATAACTCTGGAAATACTCAGTGGGGTTTTTTCTCGTTTGAAATCAGACGTGGCAACGAAAGTGAGAAGAATGAACAAATATCATATTCAAGGATTCACCTGTGCGTAGATATTCAGGAGGCGTGTATGCCAGGTTTGTGCTGTAGCTCTTGCCATCTCTGCTGTTTTTCATCAGACCGAAACAAGATAATCGAGGGCTGCCATCCTGGACAAATAGGCATGCATAAATAAACAACCCTGCAAAATCTTGGCTCTTAAAGACGGTGACAGAAGACAGATACAACCGCTAAATCAACATTGTTCTTGCAGCAAAAAAAAATTTACAGAATTTTCCATTAGATGCCACAACCAACAGGACCAATTCGAGCAACGTTATGAGTACTGCTGAATTTCATCCATTTAAGAAGCATAAAAAGGGAAAATACAAAAGAAAAAACGAAGAAAATTCAGAATCACTTTAAGCACGACTTCAAAATTCAAACATATCACTAGAATAACCTCAGCTTGTTTACAGAATAGGACGGCTGATTAGCCCACTCGAAAGGACATACTACCTGGTCAAACATCACACGATAAGCATTCAAATCATGGTAAAGGCGAAGGTTGTTGTTTGAACAATGATCAAGCGCCTGCGCAACATAAAGTGCAGCACGTAACCGCATGCCCCACTTCATTGGCTGCTTCTCCCCTGTGGTACACGCAATATTTCGCCGATCAGGAGAGAAATGAGGTCAGAAGGGGTTGAAGTCACGACATACAACAAAAAACTGATTATAAAGACCTGCAACTGTGATTACAACCACACATGAAGCAGCTACAAGCAATGATTTCCAACCAGTACTCTTCATAAGCATGTCATATTCAGTAAAAACAAACACAGAAAGATCTAATAAATTACTGGGTGATTGAACAATAAAAATTGATTAGCTGCAAAAATAATCTTACAAGAGACAAGCTTCTTATTCAGGACAGCAAAAGAACTGTAAGAACGTCAAAAAACCACTACATCGTTCATGTTATTATGGTCAACTCAAGTCTAACAAGTGGTAGAGCCTACTTACAATGGAAAAGGTGTTTCGCAAGAGTGTCGTGCGGCATGAATTCAGCAACAAGTAGCCTCTCATCACCCTCAACACAGTATCCAATTAAGTTCACGAGTCTCTCATGCCTTACTTGACCCACCTTCCAAGCCTCGTCCTGTCACCAAGTACAAGCGATGTGTAAACGTTGACTGCTCAGCGATCTGACCGGCATTCTCTTCGATTCACATGGGTACCAGTGATAACCTTCCGTTGAGGTAACAAGAATTCAAAGACATGTTTATAAAATAAAACTAAGCAAAAATGAAGACGAAAAATAAAACAAAGTTCAAGATCTTGCTGCGACGATGCAGATCGCGAAATTTAAACAAACCCCTAAACATATCATACACCACCCTTGGGTTCACGTAGTAATGGCGATCCAAAAAAGAGGATCTTAACATTGGGTACACTGTAACCTCAAGAGGTGTGCCAAGTGAACCAATATGAAAGTCTCTGTTGATGATTGTAACACTTTCGAAAGATAGCAGGAAATTTTTTATGTGAAAGAATGTTTTACCGAGAAGCCTTTCGCATCAGGCCATGCCGATTTAGGAAACCGCTTCACAGCAACAAGTCGATTCTGTTCCAGCTTTCCTTTATAGACCAAGTTGGGTGCCTTCTCCCCGCTCTCTGAGACAATAAGATCTGCGTTGAACCCTCTAGTGGCTACTTTCAGCGTTTCTAATGGGTACTCCTTAAAGTCTGGCACAGATTCTGGTTCCGCTCGTCTTCCATTTTCTGCAGATCGTGACATTTCAAACTCCTGGTAAACTAAGTAGACCAACAAGGAATGAAAGCGGACAAAGACAAGAAGAGAGAAAATACTGGGAAAAACTGAAAGATCGGTCACAATACCGTTAAAGAATGGCACCTGGATATCAGAGAAAGCTACCAAGCAGAGTATTGTATTGGTACAAATTCACTAATCAAACGACGGAGACAAGGTGAACTCATGGGAGACAATCGACACGTAAAGGATCGGGTAATAACCAGAAAAATTCATCAAGGCAAGTATGATGCAAACATTGCAAAGTATAAGAAACAAACCAAGCACAACAACCTAAAACCCTACACTAATACCTAGCGAAGTAAGTCAGGAAGCAGAAAAGTAGAATTAAAACCCTGAAATGATTTGGGAATGAGTGCTACTCAACGAAAATGGAAGCAACTCTTGAATTCTATCTCGGTAAATTTTCTTAAGTTTTAAAATAATATGTACACTAAGACAATACAGCCACGAACGAGTACACAACATCGAAACTGAACAGTAGCTAACTTCTCCCAAGCTCAGCTCCAACTAATGAGGAGTAGTGATTGTCCGGAAACGCAAAAGATATGCTCCAGCAATTGCGGGACATGTGCCCATGACGAAGTCGGCAATGTAGCATCTTAAAAGAAGTGTTCCGAGTAGTCGATTGGCGTTTCTCCGACTTGATATGTAATGACGTGCATATAAAGACCCAATGAAAAAGCAAACAGAGACCCTAAAGCTGAAAGAGCCATGACTTTAAAACATATGCGACGTTGCATCCATAAAGCCCACACTGAACTATGCACGAGCACGAGAGGATCCAAACTGAGAATCAAGCCATGGAATGAAACGAACCTAAGTCAGCTTTCTCAGGATCTATGTCATTGAGGCTGGCTCGGCGTGAGTTCTTGGGCTTCGAACTGAGGCAGCCCATCCCTGTACCCCTCTACGTCCCAACCCGCGCCAGCCCGTACCGCACCGTCCTCAATCTACCATTGCCGACACCAATGCAGCTTCGTCTAAGCCTCCAGCACGTCTTCCTCCCATCCGATTACATCAACCAAATCCCTCCGAAATTCACCCGAACAACCCACCCACCGATTACAAAGACGAAACTTGCCCCCCAACACAAACACACACACGCACGCACGCACGCACTGGCGGTACAACAACACGTAAGCTTGCAACCGCACAAGCTGGAATCTATCCGAAATCTCACCAAGATTGGCCCACCTTCACCCACCTCCCAAACAGACCACGACCCACCAGGTTACAAACACCACTTCACCACCACGATGCGATCCTCAATCAGAGCCAGCAACCCCAATGGCCACGTTATTCCCCACGCCCTCAGTTACAGCAACATCTCTCCAACACCCGCTTTCCGCCTTCTCTCACTCTCTCGCCCTCTCTCACCCACGCTCCCATTGATCAGCCCAACAAGCCAGCATCATCTACTTCAGCCCCGTCTTGCGGGTCCCTCAGCCCGCTCTCCTCTCTCTGCTCTGCTGCTGTGGCTCCAGCAAGCAAAAAAGGGGGCGAAGGGGAATACGAGGAGCAGGAGGAGGGAAGGCTATGCGTGGAAATAGAGACAGGTGAAGTGAGGCCCCAGGGCAGGGCAGGGCGGGGTGGGGGAGTGGTGGTGGTGGGTTCCTCTCTCTCTCTGGCTCCTCCTCTTTCTCTCCTCCTCTCTATTTCTGCAGCACTGTTTTTATCTTTCCGGCGGGGGGAGGGGGGACTCATGAATGATGGCCCAACTAGAAACCAGCCAAAAGCAAGCAGGTGCCTAATCATGGGGGGGGGTGGGTTTGGGGCTTAACTACAAGGGTGGGAGGAGAGGGGGGGGGTGTGGTGAAGGTGGGTGACGACAACGCAGGATGCAGGATTCTCTCCCCATTGCCACATGCTCCTCTTCAATGACCCCCCTGCCTACGAAACACTAGGATCGAGCACCCCAGCATCCCCACCCCCCACTCTCGTTGGCTTTGCTGCTTTGGCTGCTTTGTTGGGCTTCATTTAGTCGCCACCATTTTCCCTTTCTCCACATGCATTGGTTGCATGCAATGCTTCCTTCCATCCTTCCTCCCGTTCCTTCCTTTGCCCTTCCTTCCATTCCATTCCCTTCCCTTCCGCTGGTGGAGGTGGTGGTGTTGGACAGCCTTCGTCTTCTGCTTCGTCTTCTTCGTTATCATCATCTTCTTCTTCCCCTGATAGTGCGTCCGTCGCGTCCGTCGCGTCCGTCCTAGGCGTGGCGCTTCGAAATGGAGGAGGACAGAGGACGAGGGCGTCGCTGCGGGTTTGTTAATTTAATGCACTATATATGTAGGTATGTATGTATGTATTTGTATATGTATGTATTTGGAACTATAAATCTAATAGAAAATACTGTGGTTATTTAATATAAATACATATGGTATTTTAAAATTTTAATGATGTAACATAATATATTGTATGAAACTACTTGATGTATGTATAAATATTAATAGTTTTTTAAAGTACTTTAGAGTTTTTAAGATTTTTCAAAATAATTCAAATTTTAGAAATTAATTGTGGAAGTTTCTAAACATTTGGATAAAGTTACAAAATTACTTATATATAATATTATAATTATTTAAATAGAACTATAGTTTCAAAAATATTATGTAACTTTATTTTAATAATTTTTTTAAAATAAGATATTATATACATTAACTTAGTTATTTTGACCTTGTAATCTATTTATTGTCACAGCTTCAACTCTAATTTATTATTTAATTTTACTATAAGTTAACAAACTACATTTCAAGATGCACAAAATTTATGGCTGTAAAAGTATTTTTAAATTTTACATGAGAAAACATTCCAAACATGAAGTAATGCTACATGTTAACAAGTTTATTGTTAACAATCAGTCAATTTCTATATTAAAATGTGTTGTATGTTAAAAGTAAAGCTTTACCTTTTTTCATACATTTTTGACAAGCAAAATGGTGTCAGCTACAGGGTAAGCAAAAGAGAGCTATTAAAATGTTAAAAAAGTAAGGACATAGCAAAGAAACTTCAGTAAACTGACACTTTGAATTCTAAAGTTATTTCTCTTCTATACATATCATTTGGAAAAAAAATTACCAGATTGGAGAAGGAATTAGGTTTTATAATCTAAAGTTGTTTTAAGGCCACGAACGATATCAAAATAAATTGTGAACGTTTTCTTTCATCTGATCTATCTTATATAAAACTTCGTGCAGTTAGAACTCATGAATTCAAATGTATAACATACACCATAACGTTCGCAATTCACATTGATCCAGGTTGAAATATTTCTTCAACTCCCCAAAAATATAATTAACTTTATTCTAAACACTGTAGAAAAGACATGTTCCTTCATACTGTGCATCTGAGCCATGACGTTACAATGCAAGTCAGTTGAAAACATTTCATCTTCTTTTTTCAAATAACACATTACAAACCAAACAGTATGGTCCATGGTGGGCACCGTTTGATAGGGATCACTTCCTCTGCCTGACAAACTCTGCTATAGATCCAAGCATAAACAAATGAAACTCCCTTAACACCAGTCTTGTGGTTGTTTAAGAATGCACATTGTGAGAGTGTTCAAGCATCTAAGCAGTTGAGAGAACAAGTTCATAAAACCCACCCACCTTCATTTCTTTGTGAAGCTTGGTTTGAGAAAAAAGAAAACAACGAAAAGAGAAAAAAGACACAAGGTCAATTGCGTTGATCATGGTTCGTTATTTCATGCAATTGTCAAGTGGTGACCTCTGATAGATGTTACCTGCATGAATAAAAGCTCGAACAAGGGAAACTGCGCCCACAAGGATGCTTCACTACACCACAGGCACCATCGCATCGTCATCGTCTCGTAACATTTGCAGATTTGCTGATAAAACACAAGCATCTGCTGAAGGACCCTGTGCACCTGGTCAGAGTAAGACGAGAGAGATATTAGTGTTGGGGAGGGTGAGCAGCATCGACAAATTCAGTGTGGGAAACCACGTACACTACAAAATGTCACAAAACACGAGTATAGGGAGTACAACATCGGAGGCTGGAAAGTGACTGGGCATTACCTATGCTGCTGCAAGAGAACCACTGGTGGTTTCCTTGCTTGACCTGCAGCCTTTCGCTTCGTATCATCAGTCCAATACGGTGGGACAACTATGGTACAAATATAGTTTCATTAAATCGTGCACCAGCAAGGCTTCAACTCTACAAAGAATTTCAGAATGCTCACGCGGCCTTGGGATAAAAGAAACGCACAGGCACGTTACTGTGCAGAAGGGTTCATAGTAACTTTCTGGTACTGCGAAATAGTTCACAAGATGGACTGCATCTACGTTCATATCATAATAATAGAGATAATAAGGTAATAGGGCTTCGAAAATATATAATGTAAGATACCTTCGGAAGGCTACGTCGTAGATCATAGAAAATTGAAAAAGAAACCAGGTACTGAACAGGTTTGCGAACAGATGCGAGTCAGGTCTAAACAAATAGAAATCAAATCTAGAGCAGAATGAAAGCAAACACACACCCGGATTTCAACAAGTATGGAAGTGCCGTAAGACACGGCAATATTAAGATTGAGATTATCAAAGTTTACATAAGAGATCAATCATCGGACAAGGAGGCTACGACAATTGAGCACTCCATGAAAACCCTCGAAACCATTACGGCGCGGTTTCCTCATGACATAAGCTCCTAAAACAAATAACCGCATAGCCGTGTATACTGCACTAAAAAATCGCTATCCACGCCATCACCTCATCACGCCATGGCGCCGGTGGTAGCAGTGCGGAGGATCTGGATGAGAGAAGACCCAATGACGACGAAAACAAACAGGCCGAGCACCATCGGACCAACAGGATACTGGTTCTTCTTCTTAATCGTCGTCTCTGGGACACTGCCCCTCCTGTGCACGTTCTTCTGGAACTTAGCGCTCTTCTTGTCCGCAAGCCTCTTCGAGGTCGTCATCTTTTACAACAAACGGATAAAAAAAAACACACGCAACCCTCCTTCACTGATCAAAACCCACAATACACAACTACTTCTAGAGCAAGCCGATCGCGCACAACACACCAATTGCACGAGAGCGTAGAGATCAACGATGGGTTGAGCGGAACTGCAGAGAATAGCTTCAAAATTGTTGATCGAATGCCCTGCGCAACGAGGCACGAACCCTTAAAAAAGACACCGCGAGACAGAGCGGAGACAGGAGCCCCAGCACGCCGACTTCCAAAAGACGCGTTATCGTTCGTTGGACAACGATGGTCAGGTGCCCGAGCAAACGTCCGATGTTGGATGTTGGATTTCGACAAATTCCGGTGAACCTTCGTTGATGTTTCCGTTCGTTGAACGACGAAATATTTTCGTCAGGCGGTTGTCGAGGGCGACCAATTCCGAGTGGAACCGCCGCGTTCTACCCATTCCTCGTCATCGGCGCGAATTCGTCCAATGGCACGTCTTTGCTGGTGTCCATATTCCGCGTGGAATGGACTTGGTTTCTAGGGCTTCGTTGCTTGATTGGTATTTAGTCAGTTTGACATTGACCATTGACTTCTCTACTTACTATTATTTATTTGTTTTCTATAAAAGGGGTTTTGTTTATATTTGTAACAATATTCCGTTCAAGACTCTAGATAGAGAGCCACAAATCATACAGCCAAGGGCATTGAATGAATTGTTTCGTGTGTAATTTTGGATCTAGGATTGTGCACGTATTGTTTCTTTTACATTTTTCAATAAAAAATGCGAATGAAAAGTAAAATACTAGAGACAAGTCCAATCTTAAAAGTAATAGTTGTGGTTGTTCTTTAACTTTGCTGTCTATGTAACTGTACATGATATGATAAAATTATAAAACAATCACACTATAAGTATGATAATGATAGTGAATTTGATAGCTATTGTGTTTTATTTTTTCCTTTATCTTTTACATTCATCAGTTAAAGAACAATATTGATGCATTGTTGATAAACTGAATATAATGAAAACATATAAAAGCTTCTATATATGTCTACATATAGATATACATATGTATACATATACACAAACTTATGTGTTTTTTTAACTGGATGAATGGTAACAATTACATAAATGTTTTTAAATTGTTCATAATGCATTGTATCTTTTTTAACCTTTATGACTCAGAGAGTGTTACATATTTTTTAGGAAATTGTATTTGTATTTTAAGGACATGAAATAATTATTAAACTTCATAATATCATCATCAAAAATGGATTTTGAACTAATGTAATCTTGAGAAACTGAACACAAATTGTTTGTAAAAAATTATCATAAAACCTGCTTTTATTGAATATATAAAATAATAATGATAATAAAGGGTTTCATCCTAAATTACATTCTAAAATGTATGTATTCATCCCTAAAATGATATAATTTAAAATTAAATGGTCATTTTTTAATCAAAATAATTATCACATTATCAATTCTAATGATATGGCTGAACAATATTAATTTGTTTTACATCAATACTTCAAATTGTCAAAAAACAATCATGTTACAATGGGTTATAATTGTTTTTTAATATGTACATATAAATATATATTGTCCCAATTGGAAAAAAATGTATCACAATCAATAAAAGGATGTACAAATTACATTTGAAATATTGATCAATTTTAAATTTACTAATAACTAAAGTTTAAAACCAATGTTGATTCTCTAATGTTAGCATCCAATACTGCCATAGTTTGATTGGTAAATCATCTAATATTTCAAAATTAGATAGAAAAGAATTAAGTATAATATTCTTATAGTATGTTACAGTGTGAAGTTTTGTAAGTTTTTTAGCATTTACTTTTTGCTTATTGTTTTTTTTGAGATTTCTTCTACATTAATAGTTTATTTTCATATTTGTTTTTAGCATTTAGAGTAGGTGGAGGCAAAATCATGGTTGTCATCAGTTATATTAACCTATTGGGTTATATTTTATCACGTGTTTCAGATTTATTATTATTGTTATTATTTTAAAATTATTACATTTAGAAACACGAGTTTGTAAATATGTCTATTTGTTTTTATCTTTTTAATTTCTGGGATTTAGATATTGTTGTTATGTGTATGCTAATGGTTTATCAGGCCATTTTTGGTATAACTATTGTAATCATTTATTTTCAAATTCAATTTATTGATAACAATCAACTATTAAGGCTAATTTAATAATAAACTGTTAGAATGTGTGAAAGTCATAAAATACATTAATCTTTAATACTTCTCTCTCTCTCTCTCTCTCTCTCTCTCTTTATATATATATATATAGATATATATATATATATATAAATTGTATTTTGAAAACTTATTTTTTCACATCAGTAATAGCAAATGATAACATTTTATTATATTTTATAATTTTGGTTGCATGTGTATGCATAGGTGAGCATACATATTAGGAAATCAAACTTAGTACTGTTAATGAAAGTATGTTGATAAATGTTTTGTGAGTATAGAACTCACACTATATATATATATATATATATATATATATGAATAAATTCGAATTTCAGATTTTTAAGGTTTGAGGAAAAAAAATAAAAAATAAAAAATGTAGAATATAGATGAGAACTTTAAGAATTTCATACAGTTATTTTGTTGAACAAGTGTCATTAATGGAACCAATATTAAATGACAATCTAAGGGTAGCACGTAGTTTTAGAAGTAACCCCTGAACCCTAAACCCATGTTAGAACAAAATTTAATTTGTACTGTTGGTTTTAATTTATATTTGTTCTTAATGTTTTTAAAAAAGATAGTGTATACTAAGGGTATTTCTACATCATTGATGATTTCACATTATATTTTTAAAAAATAGTAAATCAGTTAGGTGATGATTTTTTTTTTGTTCAAATTGTGAATCACTTACTTGAGGTTTTCTGTATTAAATGTGTAACTAATATCATTATTGTTTTTATTTTAATGATTTAATTTCACACATATACTTAATTGAATGAGTACATAAATAAACACATGAACTGCAACAATTCACATTTCAAAGTTTTGTGAAAAGCCATTCAAATACGACGAACAGCACCCGACATTCATTCATCCATCCATCCATCCAGGTCGCTTTCGGGGTCTCAGCAGAGAGAGAGGGATGCGGACAAGTGGAACGGGACATGAGTAGGGGACGTGGGATCTGGAAGAGGGATGGGACCTGGGTTGTCCCCCGAGTTTGGATTTTGGTCCTGAGTCTGGACCCCTGTTCTCTCGCGGCCTTCTGCCTGCCTGCCTGCCTGCCTGCCTGCTGCCTCTTCCTCTTGCTCAGTTTCTTTACGATGCTTCTTCTCACTGCGATGCCGTCAAATCGCCCTTCTTAGCAAAGCGGTGTGGCATTCCTCGACTATGACGACAGCAGTAGGTTGAGTTTGGGCATCCGGAAGTTTTGCATTGTATTCGATTGTGTTTTTGTTATGTTCTTCTCTCTGGGTTGGATTGTTGAAGGGTAAGTTGTGTGTTCGAGCGTGTGTGTGTGCGCGCGCGCGTTTGTTCCTTGTATCGATTGCATTTTGCGTGGTTTCGAAGAGAAGAGAGGATTCAGAAGAGTGAGTTTTGGGTGAGAAGTGGTAACATTGAGGGAGGTGGAAGAGAAGTAGGGAGAGAGAGAGTGAGAGGGAAGGAGGGTTTTGTGGGTTGGAGAAAAGGGACTGGAAGAGAGGGGTTTGGATTAGGGGATTTTTTTTTTCCTCCATCAAAGGAGACTGAGATGGCAGCGAGCACGGGAACTGGAGTTGGGGGCGGGGGCGGAACCGGGACAGGAGGGACTCGCAAGTTCAAGCTGCAGAAGGAGAGTGAGCTGCGGGTGGAAGTCGGCATGGATTCGCCGCTCAAATTGCAGCTTGTGATTGGGACGGCAGAGGTTTTTGGCACGGAACTGCCGCCCATGTTCTGGATGACTTTCCCTGCTGCGCACAAGTTTGCTGTAAGCTACTTGCTCAACTTTCCGGAGTCACCCGTAACATGTCTGAAAATCCGCCTCTCAACGCTCGAGTGTGCTCTTAATAAATGCAGTGAGATTTTAGGTTAGATAAATTTACAGCTAAATTAAGTGTTGTCGTTTATTAATCGGAATCCTGTCAGTTGGCATCGCAATGTGTGTTCTACTTGTTAAACTGCATAAAGAATTGACACAGGATACTATTTGACATTGGTGATGGACATGGTTTTTAAGCTGCTATATGATAGTGGATTTTTATTTATTTATTCCTCGGTTTTATGATTTTTTGAGCGGGGGTTTTCATCGTCTCATCTACACACGAGATTAAGATTCTGCTACTGGTTTTACAATCATTGCTGGGGCAAAGTTTTGAGAAACTTGGACATGACGATGATGTCCACGCGTCTGGTTTATGAAGGTTTAGGGTTTAAGGACCATCGATTGTGATCATTTTCAAACGTTTCTCCTCAGAAGACGCGATAATATCTTCAGAACTGTCGCGAGTTCATATGGATTCATTTGTGTGTCGTTTCGCCTGCAGTTCTTAGGTCTGAACGCATGGTTTTTCAGTTAATAAGCGTTAATAAAAGATTGTTGGTGTATTCTGTGTATGTATATAATCAGTATTCTTCACAGCTAAGTTTCCTCTCGAACGCAAACGGGGTTGCAGGTATTTACTTGGCATGGCTGCACGATTGAGTTGGATGGTATCTCCGAAGTTGCCTATGTTGCCGACGAGGTATATCTATCTCCTTGACTGAAGCGATCAATTATGATTGTAGGATAGTGCATGGTTGACGATGGTCCCAATTATCCTCATGATGGATCTATAAGTTATTCCACTGCACGTTTTTCACGGTTCGCTGAGAATTCCCTAGTAATTCCTGCTTGTGGAATGATGAAGTGCCATTTTCTGTGTTTGATCTACATTTCTGGTTTTTACATGCAAGTATGTACAGAATAAAGTTGAGACTTTGACTCTATCAAGACAGGCATTCTTTGATGTGCGGGTGTGGGACAGACTCCAATGGTCAGCTATGTCAATGTGCATGCAGTCCTTGAACGAAGGCGCAGAAAAGCTAAGGAGGCTCTCGCTGCATCTGATGCTCCCAGCACCAACCCCCCTGCAGTATGTTCATTCGGCTATATATCTTTTGCTGCTGCTTACGTTGTTGGCTTGGGGCACCTATTTTAGTGTATAACTCATGTGGACACTATCCTCTTATCACATAATAACTCTGAACTGATATTGGAATTGCTGCAATTCATGTGAGAGATGAGAAAGGCTAGTGGATAGAAGTAAGGCTAGTCGGCATGGGCAGCACTTGTTCGAAAGATCCACGTTGAACTCCTCTTTCATTTTTATGTTCTAAAGTTCGACGTGATTGTGGCAGGGTCCCAGATGTATAGTGGTAGGGCCAACAGATTCTGGAAAGAGCTGCTTAGTGCGGATGTTACTTGGTTGGGCCGCCAGAGAAGGTTGGAAGCCAACGTATGCAGATTTAGACATAGGCCAGGGCTCAATCACTATTCCCGGCACAGTTGCTGCAACGCCTGTTGAGATGCCCATACACCCTATCGAGGGAGTCCCGCTCGACCTGCCCCTGGTGTACTTTTATGGACACACTACTCCAAGGTGTTTTTTCCTACACAATTAACTCTTCATATTAACTACATATTCATTGATATGTCATTTGCAATTCTATGCTTGTCAGTTTACTGGAATGTAACTTAATCCCTTCATAATTTGGGGGTGGTTGTGCAGTGTGAACGTAGACTTATATAAAGTGTTGGTGAAAGAGTTGGCGCGTACTTTGGATATACAGTTAGTCTCAAATTCTGAAGTTCAGGCTGCCGGCATGGTTATCAATACTATGGGTTGGGTGGATGGAGTTGGCTATGAGGTAAGAGTTACATATTCATAATTTATTGTCTAACTTTTTAGTTGTGACAAGTGCAAAAGCATTTTTAGTTTGAAAGCAGGTAATAGAAGTCGTCAAAAAACATTGTGGATGAGGACAATTTGCTGTGCGTATGTTTTAACTTTGGTGAACGCTGTGTGGGATGAATATGAGCTCAGTTGCTATTGCATGCCATCGAGACATTGCGAGCTGATGTTGTATTGGTACTTGGACAGGTATGATTCCAGGCTCTAGCTTTGCTATTATAATTTCTTTCTGTTCTGTTTCATTTCTTTTGGAATGACTGTAGTTCTTGCTTGACAAATATCAAGAAAGCGTAGTTGTTTATGTGTACTTTGGAAGGGGGAATGTTGCAATCATCCGATCCTGTCTTACTGGTTCCCCTTTACTCAAAGAATGTGGAAGGTTCATTAGCATAAACACACATGTTTGTGATTGTATCTGGAGGGACCGATCTAGTGTTCATGTTTGTGTTTATTTTCCTTTCATTCACAGGAAAAATTATACAGCATGCTTCAGGAAGTCCTGAAAGTAAGGCCTGGTGTTGACATTGTGAAATTACACAAGTCTGGGGGCGTTGTGAATCGTAACTCAAAATATCGACAACGGACACGTGTCCTAAAAACAAAGGTAGACATACGACTGTCTGATTTAACCTATTCTGAGTTTTTGACACTCGTCGTTGGTAGACCTTGATGTGTGTTGTGGGGATGTGAAGGGTATGTCTTGGCTTGTTTTTATTATCGTAGGCGCTTTGGGTTCTCGTGTAGTCTCCAGTAAACATTAGAAACATCGTGTTGTTTTGGATCAAGTTCATGTATGTTTTGCTTATATTTCTTCTCTACAGGAGTACTTTTATGGGTTGTCAAATGATCTATCTCCCCATTCCTCAGTTGCCAACTTTAGCGACCTGCAAGTATTCCGTATTGGTGGTGGTCCACAAGCCCCCCGATCAGCATTACCAATTGGTGCAGAGCCTACAGCAGATCCCACACGCGTTGTACCTGTGGGTTTCAGCCGCGACTTGCTACACGTTGTACTCGCGGTTTCATTTGCCAAAGACCCTGAGCATCTCCTTTCGAGGTTATTACACTTATCTCAGTCTGTAGCAGGGAATGTTGATTGGTTATGAAGCTGTAAAGTTTTTTCATTATTTACGGTACTGCAATGTGGCTTCTAATTACGCTAATTCTGATAGTAATTGATTATCCTCTTGGTATGATTATGATTGTTATTTTGTCTTTTTATTCACGGTTTTTCTTTTGTTGATGACGCAAGAGTTTGTGTATCGTATATGTGTAGTAATGTTGCTGGCTTCATATACATCAACGAGATTGACATGCAAAGGTTAGGATCTCATTTTTTCCTATTGTCGATGTCGTAGTCGTATTGCCCCTTGCACTCCTTAGTTTCTATTTTCCAGGCTTTCATCGCTTATGAATCTGGGTGGTCATGGAAATTTGAACTCTCTGAAGAGATGAATTATTACATACATTTTGGAATGCAATGTTCAGTAGATGTTTATCCTCTTTGCTAACGTCCATCTCTGTCTCGATTGGGATTGATGTGCTTGTCTCGAAAATAGATCCGTTATACCTTCTCTGATTCTGCCAATTTCCATTTTGGCCTTACAGGATCCTCTATTTGTCTTAAATAAAACCAAAATGGGCTCTTAGCTCCAGTTTTGCCCAGTACAGGCATCTCGGATATTTTATCTATTAATAACCACAGCTCCTACAAAAATTATGGGGCACTTTAGGGGGTGATTTCTGGAAAATTCTGACTTTTGATGTAGTGTTTTTATCTCTTAGTAGTATGTAAGTAGAGATATATCTGCTATATGCGAGCTAATTTTGATTATCGTTCTGGATATGCAGGAAAAAGGTGACATACATGGCACCATGTCCTGGACCACTACCAAGTCAGTTACTTCTGGCAGGTTCGCTTGCTTGGACAGAGTAAACATAGAGACTTAGTAGAATTGCCTTGCTGGATTGTTTTAGCTTCTGCAGCAATTATTTGTAACATGGTATTAATTATATGCTAGCCAGTGAGTTTACCAAGGTCCTTTTTGTGTATGGGGTTCTTTTGTTGGTTGTAATGTCCTGTGTCGGTGGGTTCTGTCTTTGGCAACGTCATTTTTCTTCGTTTTAAGTGATGGCCAAGTTACATTCAAAATTTGATTTGTTTTAGTGTGTTCAAGCCTACATTGCAGATACCGATAAGGACACGGACCGTTGTATAACTAAGATAAGAATCTGTATTATTTGTGCATTGTTTATGATGACGAGAAGTACAAGTATATCTTCTGCAAAATTCTATTTGAATAAAATAAGGAATGGGAGATACAATGGCAATTTTTATTACAATTCTTTGTTTGCTGTAATCTAGTCAGGAATCCTACTTTACACCTCTTTTTCTTTACCCCAAGCCTGGATACATATAGAGATTTTGTTATAAGATCAGCTGATCTCAAAGGAGGCGTCATTCATGGTCAAGTAGCTCTACGACCTCTCAATGTGTAACGGTGCGCCTGCCCGACCCCACGAGAAAGCTGGGAAAAATTCAGTATATAATCCATATATTAACACAGTATGCTACTCAGGTCGGGTTCAAATTCCTAGTTGGACCATCATCACCAATTAGGATGGAAGGGTATAGCTAATGCCACCAGTTTTTGTTACGATCATCACAACTTGCCATTCACCTCATATCACCACAGTTTATATTACCACCACAACTTGCCACCAACTCAACATGTTCTTTTCAGTTTTATTTTTATTTATTTTTATTTTATTTAATTGAAATTAATATTTCAAATTATCATTATTTTTTCAATTTATGTATAAAAATTAATAGGTTGACTGGTTGAGCTGCAGCGTCATCTACTTCTCTTGCAGTCAGCTTCTCACAATTCACTTCGAGGTTGAAGAGGATTTCTATCCATTCCGGAGGGGTCTCAAAGTTTCAAGCGGTTTATTGTTCTAGTGGTTGTGAGATTTCATTCTTGAAAACTGCATTTGATCGAATCTGAGCACATGTTCGATGTCATTTTTGTCCAGAACTTTTTGTCTATGATCAGCAGATAGCTAACAAGTTGGTGCGACTTCTCATCCAGTAGCAATCTAACAGTCAATCAAGCCTTGATAGTACGCCTATTGTCACGTTTCGAATTCTTTACACACATGATGTGCATCAGACAGCTTGGGGTACTAAGCGTTTAGTGCGATAAGCTGAGGGGCGTAGGATATGGTGGAAAACTCGCATGCTTTGGAGATGGGCAGTGGAAAGTATCAGCAGCTCAGAAACGCAGGTGAACAGAACACGCCTGTCTTTACAGCCGAGTGGCCCTTGGAGCAACTCGGCAACTACAATGCTTGCCCCACACAATATCCACATGATAACTAATGTTTGTACACTAAACTAATGCCCACCCAATTCTTTTGAGAAAGTCGGACTTCAAAATAATCTGCAGGCTTGCTAGAATCGATCGCGACAGTTCTGTTCCAATAGCATCGTTCAGGCAAGGAATTCTCTTTCGAGTACCTCTGTTTCTTCTATCCATTTTCCCGTGAATTTCACATGTTGGACATGTTGGCAAAATTCTCGAAAATCAACCTGATGCGAAGTTCGGTGGTTCATCATCTTTCTGTTGTCTTGGAGCCTCCTACTGGAAGCCTTCCCTTCTCCTCAAGTGGCTTTGAAGGAGTTCTGAGTTACTGAACTGTCTCGTGGGACTACAAACAATCAGAGGTAACTAAATCTGAGTGACAGTTGCGGTTTTTTTCAAGTGGGCCGTGCCATTACCCTCCCAATTCCATCTTTTTTAATCTTCGAACTTCAATCTAATTTCTCAGAGAAATGACACAGTCGAGCTTCAATTGTGAACTATTTCAGGCCGGATGTAGTTTCATGTGGGAATGTAGGAGAGGCCATTATTTTTGGGTACGAATAATTCACTCCTTTCATAAAGAATCCTGTGCAAGCTCTTGACGAAGTAAGCAAAAGAATGCGTCGGTCTGCTGGGCTTCCTTCAAAGGGCGTCAGCTTTTCTAAAGCTAGTGGGCTCTTCTCAACCTGGAGTTGGCTCCTCATTGTCTCTTCTCTTCCTGTGATTCAACTCACCGCCACAACCCTCAAGTTTTTTTCAAAACTGTGGTTCATGTGTGTCATAACTCATTAAAAAAAAAAACCAAACTACCTGCATCCATATCTTCACCCAATGGATGATCACCAGTAAGGAGTACACTTCCCTGGGGATTGCAACCTCTGGAAAACATCACAATGCGAAGTGGGTTCTGAATTCTTCCCTGTAAAAAGCTTCAATACCATGCTTGCAGACTTTTTTCTAGCGTCACCTTCTCCAGAGCCTGTATCCATTACTCTTCTCATAGCAACACTCTGAGTGCACTGCAATCAAAAATGTTAACGTTCTCAGGCACTGGCTGAGTTACACCACTGAAACAAAATGGGGGCAATTCACCGAATAAGTGCAAGGAATTGTAATAAAAAATACTTTGAATTCTCAGCTCAAATGTGTTCCCTCAATTTTTTCTTGTTTTTGGGCAATTCTAGCTATTTTGTGAAGTGCCCGCTTGTGTGCATAAGAAATTAAGAGATAAGTCATAGGGCCAAAATAATTGAGAGTCGCCAACCCAAATCAAACCTTGGACCACAAAGTTACAAGTGGATTTTACCACCACCTGTAGCAACTCTTCTAGCATTTGAGTGTTGTTGAGAATCTTACATATTTTGCATTATTTTGGATTTTGCCTAGCCCATTGCATACATGCTACCTTTAAGCAAACAAGCAAGCATTTTTGGACAAGGTCAAATCTACAATAATGATATAGATTCATTATTTTACAGTGAGTATATTGCATGAATTTGTTGCTAATAAATTTAAAATCATTTTTTTAAAAAATAAATTTAGATTTGATGTTTCCTACTTTGTCTTTGTTGTTTTTTGTAAGAAATCTAATGCAATTTATACAATGGTTGCAATAATCTACATGTAAGATTCACAAATATAATATAAAACAGTTAATAATATATCAATAATATTGGTAAATTAAAAGCTTTGTCACAAAATTATTATAGTACTAGTACAATGCATTTGCACATTATAAAAAAAAAAATATATATATATATATATATATATATATATATTAGTCAGTATTGATTGTATAGACAAGAATTGGAATATTTATGTACATTTGTTTCTTTCAATAGATTGATGTATGTTAAATGCTATAATTAAGGTCTATCAAAAGTATTAAAGATAATATCAATTTGGATTTTTTTGGATTGCACCCTATGTAGTAGCTTCTTTAAGTTACATTTTTTCAATATTTAATAAATAAAAAGAATATAATTTGATTCTTCTTTCAAATGATCTATAAAATTAAGATAATTTTTCTTATTCAAAAGCATGGTATAGTAATTAAGATAATTTTTCTTATTCAAAAGCATGGTATAGTAATTAAGATAATTTTTCTTATTCAAAAGCATGGTATAGTACTTAATTACAAACTGATATTACAAGTATAAAATATCAAACTTACATGATTCAATTTAATAATAAATTTAGGCAAAAATTATCTTAAACTTAAATAGAAAGAAAAATTAAAAGAAAAGATAAATTTTCTTTAGAAAGTATAATATCATGTATTAAAATTTACAAAATCAATATCTTAGATAGAATTATGTTTAATAATAGAAAATTTTAAAATACATGTATTTACTCAATGAAAATCATGGTTTTTATAGTATCAAAACACCGTTTATAAGAATTTTTACATTATTTTTTATTGTATTTGGTTGTGACCATATCCAAAAACGAATGTAAGCTATTTACACAATCTTATTCACATAGGCATATTAATTTTTTATTTGTTCAACCATGATGTTATATGATCTTCTTCAAAAATAGCATTCTCAAATTTTTGCAATTTTTTTAAAGAATTATTTTTAAAAAATAATATCTAAAAAATATATATGATTTTATTCTTGTATGTGCAAAGTTTGAATAAATATATAGCAAATAAAAGATTGCAATAAATTTTCTACCTACTATCCAGTTTTGAAAGCTTATCTAGATCAACCTCTTAATTACATGGAAGATAATTTTTTATTTAAACATAAAATGCCAAATAAAAACATTTTTGTTTTTTTGTTTTTTTTTTATTTTTGTATAATAGACCATCTGGTTGTGATTTTATTCCAAGTTTTTTGTTAAATAAAAAAATGAACAAACCAATCATAAATCAAAAAACAAAATTACATTATAATAATAAGTAAGAATACAAAAAAAATCAGAATGAATGTCATACTAGGTTCATATTTGTATTTAGACTAAATAGTCTAATTACTACCAAATTTGATTGGCAAGTTATCTTGAACTGCATCCATTTTAGAGTTTCTAAATAAATTAGATAAGATCTTTAAAATCAAGTGAAGTAGATGAATCTCTTACATCAAGATATAGCTTGTATGCATTTATAGAAGTTTACGTTTCTAAATCAAGGTCACGTATAATTTTCAATGCTGCGACCAAGAACACATTTTTAATTTGTGTCATCTACTCTATTAACTCCTTAATTGCATCAAAACCTTCTAAATTAAATTATTATCTAAATACTCAATTCTAATAGTAACCTTATGAAGTAATTGTTATAAGCAGTCATTACAAATACTTCTTTGTAATGCACTTAAATTACCCACAACCAAGACAATGTATAAGGACTATTAAAATTACAACACATTGTAACAATAAATGTTATAAGCTAAAATTTTACAACATCTATTTAATTAAACATTTTATTAAAAACTTGTTTAAAGATTATTTAAAGAAATATTTATATATATAATGTAAAATTATTATTATCAATTCACTAATCTATTAAAATTTTATAATTGAGGAAAAAAAAGCAGGTTCTACACCATAAGTTTTTCCACTTTATAACTAGGGCCTTTATTGTTCGATCGTGCACTAAACATAACAATATAAGCAAACATTTCAAGCAGAAAGCACCCACAAGCTTGTTAGGGTCTAAGCAACCATGTTG